TAAGGTTTGCGTTGATTTTGGTACGGTGTCAAGAAGCCTGGCGGTATTCGAAGTCATCTAAAGACATTCCACACAACATCCAAGACATCCAAAGACATGCCAAGACATTCTAAGATATAATCACAATTATCCTGCTTCGTTTTCACCATAATCGCCATCACCACCTTACTCATCCTAACCACCACCACCACCATCATCATCATCAGCATCATCATCAGCATCATCATCATCTTCACAGCTTTAATATGCATTCGTACTACCATCACCATCATGAGCCCAATGCTCCTCCTCCTCCTCAAACTCAAACTCCTCCTCTCCTCGTCCTATCCCTCCTCAACATCAAAATTGCCATCATCGTAATCCTCGTAAACGTTATTCGCATCTTCATTCCATCATCAACCCCTCAGCATCATCATGAATCATAATCATCACCAACACAATCAGCATGATCATCATCTTCATCGCCATCATCATCACCATCATCATCAACAACATCACCATCAGCATCATCATTCCCATCATCAATCATCATCTCAATCATCACCATCATCACCATACGCATCATCATCAACATCATCACCCATCCTCAGTATCCTCATCATCACCACCACCATCATCGCCATCCTCTTTAACACGAACATCATCATCATCGTCGTCGTCATCATCGGCAGTCGCATCAACATTCGAATCCCAATCCCCATCCTCATCCTCATCGACCCCCATCCCCATCCTCGATGCCATCCTCGATCCAAATCCCCACCCTCTCCCCGTGTCTTGACGTTCTGGCCGTGTGAATTGTCTGGCCGAAAACTCAGACTCATCGCACTTGTCTCCCGGAACATGTACGCGAAGGCACACCTTAGTTTCCGGGCCCGATGCATAACATGTCTGATTTTTCGGGCCGAAAACTGAAACATGTCTTAAATTTTCGGGGCGAAGACTAAGAATATCTGACTTTTGGGCCAGAAAACTAAGACATGTCTTAAGTTTTCGGTGCGAAAGCTAGGACAAATTGAAAGCATGTTCAAGACATGTTCAAGGCAACTCAAAACATCTCAAGATACTTGAAGACATTCCAAAACATCTCAAGACATTTCAAGAGATTTCGAGACATGTCAAGCTATCTCAAGCCATTTACAGGACATCCCAAGACATCTCAAGACACGTTTAGACATTTCAAGACATTTCAAGATTGTCACAGACATTCGCAGACAAAGAGAGACACGCAAAGACACTACAAAGGCAACACAAAGAAATGTTCAATACATGTTCAAGACATGTACAAACGACGAGAGACATCCACGGACGCGCGCAGACGCTGACAGTTCCAGGCCAAACCAACGATATCGTGTTGGAGTATTACAGTGCCTCTCAAAAGCTCGAATATATGGCATAAGCCTTAATAAGAAATGCGGGTTGTTGTCTGGAAAATTCTGAATGTGAGCGCCGTTTGGTAAACAACCCAGCGCAACAGATACTACATGCGTGTGTTTTTGATTGAAGCGAAGCTTGGCCCGGAATGTATGCCATCCATATTAATATGGAGCTGGCTGAGTCGTTTTCAAATTAATGCGGATTTGACATACGTTTTCTAATGAAACACTGATATCGTTGGCGATGGCGCAGTTTCTAAGATTTGTTGTGCGGATCTTAGGTTTGTTACCACTGAACCGAAGAAGAGGAGGTGGAGGATCGAGGATCGAGGATTGGGATCGAGGAGGATCGAAGATCGAGGATCGAGGATCGGGATCGAGGATCGAGGATCAAGGATGGAGGATCGAGGATTAAAGATCGAGGGGATGGAACTTGACTCGAGGATCGAATCTCGAGGATACAGGATCGACGATCGAGGACCGAGGACCAAGGATCGGGATCGAGGAGGATCGAAGATCTAGGATCTAGGACCGAGAATCGAGGATCGGGATCGAGGGTGGAGGATCGAGGATCGAGGATCGAAGATCGAGGATCGAAGAGGTGGAAGCTGGATCGGGGATCGAAGATCGAGGATCGAGGACCGACGATCGAGGACCGAGGACCGAGGATCGGGGGGGGGGCTCTCGAGGATCGCGAGATCAAGTAAGCGATCGAGGAGAGATTGCGGAGGCGATCGGGTAGGCGACCGAAGGATCGATCCACCGAGGATCGAGTCGTCGATCCAGGGTCGGGAGATCAAGGAGGTCGAGGGATCGAGGAGCAGATCAAGGGGGAGGTCGATGATCGATGGGATCGGTCGGGGATCGAAGGATCGAGGAATCAAGGAGATGGAACATGTATCGAGAATCGAGGATCGAAGATGGAGGGCCGAGGAGCGAGGACCGAGGATCGAGGATCGAGGGCCGAGGATCGAGGACCGAGGATCGAGGGTCGAAGATCGAGGATCGCAGCTGACTCCATCGTCATCACCATCGTCGCCAGCTTGATCATCATGGTATTGATCATCATCAGCATCATCACAACTAGCATAGTCATTGCCACCAACATTGCGAGCACCGACATCATATTCTCAACATCGGAACCGCAATCGTGATCGCCATGCTCCTTCTCCTTCTCATCACCATCACCATCATATCCTCATCATCTTAAGCCACCATCATTATCATCACCATCGCACAACATATGGGCATCACAATCGTGATCGTCGCCATCCTCCTCCACCCCCTCCTCCTCCTCCTCGTCCTCCTCCTCCTCCTCCTCCTCATCATCATCATCACCATGATCATTTCCATCTCCTCCTCTTCCTCATCATCATCATCATCATCACCATCGTCATGTCCATCATCATCACCACCATCATCATCACCATCATCAGCACCATCATTCTCAGCGTCGTCGTCTACACCATCAACATCAACATCAAATAGATGCTCACCCGCATATCTGTTTAAGATAGCGCAGGTTATGTGAATTACCACAAGTTTCTATAGGTACGGAACAGACAAACATCCGCAGACATAATCAAAACTCTAGCACCTTCCGCACCTTCCGGAAGGTGCGGAAGAAGCAGGGCCAGGGAAGCGGGGCCGGCCAGCGACCTGCCCCCACTGCATGCGGCGCCGCGTGCGAGGACCAGGAGCACCGCTTCTGGGCCTGCCCAGCGTGGGCTGTCGCTCGGGGAGCGGCTCTGCAAGGGTCAGGTTTCACGCAGGCCTCGCTTCGGGCCGCCTTGCCGCCAAACGTGGCGCTCTCCAGGGTGCTGCCCGTGGACGCCCGCCTCGAGGCTCTGGCGGTTGCGGACCGTGCGCCGCTCGCGTTGCCCCCTCTGCCAGCCCCGGAGCAGCCAGGTCCGCGCCTGCAAAGGCTCTCTAGACGGACGGCGCCTGCCTGCGCCCCGGCGACCCCCTGCGGGCACGGGCGGGATGGGGGCTGCGGCTTGAGCGCCCGGGCGCAGGCCCCGTCGACGGCTGCGGCCCCGTCGACGGCGCGCAAACGGCGCAGCGAGCGGAAGTCACCGCCGCTGTGCGCGCGGTCATCGAGGCTGGCCGGCCCGTCGAGGTGCTGACGGACTCGCGCTGCGTCCACAACGGGGTCGCTGCGCGGCGCGCCGGAGCGTGCCACTTGGAGTGGCAGCGCTCCGACCGCTGGGCCTTGATCGCGCCGCACTACCGCAGCGGTTTCCTGACAGCGCGGTGGGTCAAGGCGCATCTGGTCGTCGCGACCGCGCGCGCAGGCGGGATGAACGCCGAGGACTGGGAGGGCAATGCGGCGGCCGACCTCCTGGCCGGCGCCGCAGCCGCGACGCGGATGCCGCCGCCCAATCTGCGCGCCGCGCGGGACCGCCAGCTGCGGCCTGGGCTCTCGCAGCAGCGCAGCGGCTGCTTGCGGCGGTGGAGCTCGCCGCCCTGAAAGCGAACCACGGCTGCCGCGGGCAGGGCGGCCCGCGCGTGCGGCGGCGCTGGACTGCTGCAGGGCTTCGCTCTCACCGCCAGCCGCGACTGCAGGGCGCGCCGGAGGCGGCGCCCGCGCCCGCGCCGTCGCCAGCCGGCGCCAGGGCGCGCCGCCCGAACCGCCGCGGGGGCCGCGGAGGCGACGTGGCGCCGCCGCCGCCCAGCGAGGCAGGGGGCCTGCGTTGGTGGCGTGCCGCAGGTGCGGCTGCTCGGCGCCGCGGATGCACGCGCTCGCGGCGCGGCCGTGCCTGGGCTGGGCCCGCGAGCTGCCGCCGCGGGCGGCGGCGCTCCTCCTGGTGCCCGCATCGCGCGCCAGTGGGGGCGAGGTGTCGTGGCGCGCGGCGCTCGCGGCGCGCTTGGCCGAGCGGCACGGGCCGCCAGGGTAGTAATTAATTGCCGGACTTCCCTCCCCTCCCCCCTCCTCTGCCGCGGGGATCTCGACTTGTCAGTAAAAAAGTGTATGCCACCTTGGAGTTCCCTTTTTCAGAAATCCCGCCCCAAGACCATCATTGGGTGCCACCTCGTCGACGCGCGCACTCCCTCCCTCTCGCCCTCCCCCCCCAGGTGAGGACCGTCTTTAGGCCTTACCCGTGAGGATTGCCAATAGGCCTAACACCCCGCGCAGCTTACGTCATTGGGTCTGGGTGGGTCCCCCCACACCTATTCATGATGGCGTCAACAGCCACCGGAGGGGGCCGAGGCCCTCCCTAGGGCCCCTCGGCTTACGAAGACGGCCGTAGGGAGGGGTGCCAACGTACTTCCACAACTCTGACCTTGATGACCTCAAGGCACCGATTGCCACCACGCGATGTTCCTCCTCCCTCCTCCCTCCTCCCTCCGTCTCCCTCCTTCCCCCTCCCTCCTCCCCCTCCCCCTCCTCCTCCTCCTCCTCCTCCTCCTCCCTCCTCCTCCTCTCCTCCTCCTCCTCCTCCTCCTCCTCCTCCTCCTCCTCCTCCCTGCTCCTGCTCCTCCTCCTCCTCCTCCTCCTCCTCCTCCTCCACTGGCCCCCGATCCCCGAGAGGGGAACGCCCACGATGCGGAAGCCGCGCCAGCGTCCTTGAGGAGGTCGCCCAGCCTGCCCAGCTCCTCGTCGTTCGACAGCTGCGCCCCCTCCACCTGGCTCGGGGCGGCAGGCGAGCGGCGGGGAGGAGGAGGCGCGGCCCAACCCGCACAACCAGCGGCAGCTGGGGCCCAGGAGGCCGACGCCGGGGGGCGGGCGGGGAGGGGGGGGGGGCGGCCTGCCCGGAGGGGGCGCAGCGCTGAAGGCGCTACACGCGGGACGATGCACCCGGACGACGCCGGGGCTGCTGCCCTCTGCTGGTGCTCGGCCAGAGCGCGCGCCGCACTTCGAGGCGCTCGGCGCCCGGGCCCAGAGCAGCCAGCGGCGGCCACCAGGTGCGCGAAGCCTCGTCGGCCGCCCCCCTCGACCCCCTCCCCCCTCATTGACCACCTACCAGACCCAACCCCAACCCAACCCGAAGTTCCGAGTTTCGGGTCGGGGGGGTACGGGCTTCACATGTGCTTTTTGCAAATGTTCCCCAGCTCCCACCCCACTGGAAGTGGAGGGCAACTTGGGGCCTTCGGGCTGGGCTGGAGTGAGCTGGAGGCCGATGACTCACCCCTCCTCCAATAGAAGAAGAACAAACGCCATAAACATAAACTTCTGGCAGCGCCGCCAGGGGGGCCCAGGCGCGGATCCAAGACATCCGCGCGGAGCGCCCAAAGTTTATGCTCATGTGCTTTTGTTCTTCTTCGACCATCCCCCCTCCGAGCCACCTCGTCCCGCTGCCCCCCCCCCCTCCCCGCCCCGCCCTACTACTGCCGGGCCGGTCTCCGGACAGGGGCGGCTCGGTGTTGCTCGCGCCTTCTTGCCCGCCCCTGCCCTGGCGAGGCAGCCCTGCTCTCCGCCTGCTGCCAATGGCGCGGCAGACATTGCCTCCGTGTTTCAGCCTTGGTCCCGGGACCTTCCTCCTCGGAGGCAAGCAATCCATCTTGCCCTAGGGAGCTCCTCCTCCTCCTCCTCCGCCGCCGCTGCCGGAGGCAGGCAGTCCATATTGCCCAAGCATTGTCAATCGTGCACTTAACTATCAGGGGCTCCTCCCTGCCTCCCCCAGAAGCTCTGGGGTCTGGCGGAGATTCTGCACACACACTGCCGCCTGCTGCCGCATCGTGCGCGGAATGGGTCCGACGAGGTGTCGCCACGCTGCCGTCCGTGGCCGCCGCTCCGTTGCCAACACGTACGCCGGGTGGCTCTGGCTAGGTTTCGCTACGCTGCTGCCCACTGCCGCCCCGTGGCCGCCTCGTGCGCTGGGTGGGTCCGGCGACTTTTCGCCACGCTCGCACCACTTCTACTATATTTCTGCGCAACAAAAATACAAAAAAAAAACGACTGATTCGACCACCCTCCCCAACCCCCCACCCCGACTGATGGACCCCCTGAAACACTTCGAATTCCAACCGATTCTGCCTCAGCGTTCGTTTTCCATGCAAACTCGTACCATCCCAGGGAGGTGTGGCACCGCTCAACCCCGCTCATCCCTGTCAAAGAATACCATGCGCGCGCACTCGAACATCGGAAACTATCCTATAGCTCTTGTCAATCATCCCTTGCGAATGGAGCACGACGTCAACGCGCGCGTCCATGTCGAAGTCAAATAGTACACATCAGGTACGCCAGCGCTTCAACGTACAAGCTTTCAACAAACACCATTGAATCACGGATCTGCATCCATTATGCCCGCACGCATTTGCTGGAATCACTGGGAAGTCTTATGACTGCAACCATCTCGTCCAGCAGCCACACCCTCATCTCACAACGCAGTGCATCCGCGTTGATCCAGCATGCGCCCAGTGCATCGTCATTAATCCAGCATGCACCCAGCAGGCTACAGGCGCGTGCCGCCACGCGCGAGCGTCGAAATCCTTGCATAGAATTTCAACCTCATCGAGATTCCCAAATACTTGTGACAAAAAAGCACGCTGCTGTTCAGCAGCGGCGGTGCCAAATCTCTTTGATTTCCGCGGGCTCATCTCCCCGCGTTCACCCTGACCAGTGCCGCGGCACCACGTCATCGTCATCGACAACCGCCACTATTTCTGCCATCATCACTCAAGCACCTGCGTCACCGACACATGGTCATCATCATCATCATCATCATCATCATCATCATCATCATCATCATCATCATCATCACCATCATTACCATCATCCTCATCATCCTCATCATCACCACCATCATCATCGTCATCGTCATCGTCATCGTCATCATCATCATCATCATCATCATCATCATCATCATCATCATCATCATCATCATCATCGTCATCATCATCATCATCATCATCAGCATCGGCATCACCAGCATCGGCGCCGTCATTGGCCTTGCCGTCATCAGCGTCATCATCGCCACCACCATCGCTACTATCATCAACATCATCATCCTCATCATGATCATCAACAACAACATTATCATCAACATCATCATCACCATCATCCCCATCATCATCATCATCATCATCATCATCATCATCATCATCATCATCAGCATCAGCAGCATCATCATCATCATCATCATCATCAGAATCATCATCATCATTACCATCAACATCGTTGCTGCCGCTGTCAATGTCATCATGATACTGCGTTCATCAGAACCACCGACCCGCATTGAGACGCGATGGGAAGTTGCCATCGGTAAGCGCCATCGCGGCAGCATCGGCTGTTCCCAACCAGCTGGCCGCTCTGCGCGCGAGCTTGCGCGCACCAGCGCTGCCGCAGTGATGCGCCAGCCAAGCGCGCCATCGCTATCGTGGCCGCATGGGTGTTGCAAAACAAGTTGCGGGTGGGAGGTTGGGATGACTGCGCAAGCAGTGGAGTCGAAAACGCATGAGTTGACACATATCGCACATATATCACCCCGTAGCTTGCACCATATAGCAGACACATCCACAGTTCAATAATTTACAGCTCGGGGTCCACGCTGGCGACCATTCCATACAGTCGAGCCAGATCATGAGGGCGCGCGGTAAACACGCATGGGCCTCGGACGCCCAAGCTGAACTATTTGAGCGGCGCTGGCCTGGCCCATATGCGGCAGAGGCGACTACTCGAGGTAGTCGCCTCGAGGGAAACTACTTGTCCTGATGATGTGGTCAGACTACTGCTTCGCCTCCCCGTGCGTGTGCTTTCCGCATCCCCGTGTGCGGTTTTTCCAAATCCCCTTGTCCAGCTCACGGTGCAAGCTGGGAGAGAAACGAATGATTGTTAACACAACCCAGGGCGTAAATATTAATACCTCTTCCAATTCCCCCTGTCTATGGCCGCTTCCCTGGCATGTTTCATTGATCCATTTGTCACTGCAGCATCATGGCGCGAAAGCGGCACTCTCAGGAGTTGGATGATCCAGCGCCTTGCTTGACAAAGAAATATATTTCGACTTCAGCTGCCATTGCTTTGACATTGACATTATATCTCGGCGTCTCCTTCAGGTGGTCCATGTTAGGACGAAACATAATGATGCCATGATAGGATTGGCTCAATATGCGTTCCAGGATTATCAGGAGTATCCACCAGCCCTCGTTCCTGCAGCGCGTGTGGAATGCGAGGAAGCATTGGAAACGCAGGGAGTCTTGGAACGTATCTTTATCATGACCTCTTGCTCCTCTGACATGCTTCTCCTCTGAACCCATGTGGCGGCGCGCACAGGGGGGGTATGGTGGAGGGGGGAAGGCGTCTCAGGAGGCTGCTACTTAGAAGGCGCCGACCCTATATCTACAGACAAGGCCCGCGTCTTCCTGAGAAGCAGGGGTGCTTCTAAGAAGCCTTCCCCCCCCCATCCCCCTCTGCGCATGGCCGACTCCAGGGCTGGACCTAAACGTTGTTGTTCGTTTTGTTTTCGTTGTCTTGTTCGTTTTGCTCTACTTGCTTTCTGGTACCTTCCTGCCAAAACGAAACACAAAACGCGGCCGAAGTCTAGCAAAGCCGCGTTTAGATCCAGCCCTGGCCGACTCTGACCCCCAAACCCCTCCTTCTTCGCGCCGCCGCCCTGCGCGCACAGCATCAGCCGGCACACTGGCACGTTCATAGAGGGACGCTTCCCCCTCCCGGCGGAGGTGGCCGCCTCGTCCCCAGCCCGCGGAGTCTCAAGGCTGCGGCTCCGAGGCATGGTGAGGAGCAACGATCGGGGAGAACTGGCGCAGGGGGGGGGAAAATCGGTTCTTCTCGGCGGCTCTCAAGCCTCGGGGTGTCCTCCAGCGGCTGCGCCTCGCCGAGGGCGTTCCAGGGGTGCCCAGATCGTCCCGAAGGGCCGCTGGAGCCAGAGTTATGACCCCCAAACCACCAGGACACTGGCGCAGGGGGGGAAACATCGACCTGGAATCAGCGACAGATCGCCGATAGATCGGCGATACATCGCGGGGGTGGGCTATCGGGCCCCTGTCGTCTATCGTCGATGAATGAACGAGTGGGGGTCGATGCACCCCCCCCTGAGCCTATTCCCCCAATCGTTGCTCCTGAGATTGGGCCTGGGACAACTTTTTAACCATTCGCGATGACAGTCGTGACTGGCCCCGCATTACCTACCCCGCCCCCTCCCCCATTTTACGTCACGATTCGCTCTGGCGCCGTCTGGAAACTAGCCATCATCAGGCATTCCCAGACGGCGCCGGCGCGAATCGTGATGTGACCAGCCCCCTCCCCCCTTTCCCCCCCGCCCGGTCACGCCCGTTATCAGCAGCGTATAACACGGCCTCCTGAGGCCAGGGGATGGATCACCAGCTTCACTACGTGAGGCCGCTCATCCTCAGAGCCGCTCCCTCAGGGCTCCATCGTTGAACCGCCGATCCTCGGCCTCCCCGCGATCCGATCCGAGGGACGGGAACCGGCAGCCGTGCACCACCAGCCCCGGGCAAGCGCACCCCAGCGGCCCTGGCGTGATGTCAGAGGAGAAGCAGAAACCACCGCCACCGAGAATTCACCGGGGGGGGGGCCGACCCCTGGGCGGATTTGGACGCCCGAAATGGGCACGGAACAAAATGGGCGCGACCGGTTGCAGAATAGTCGACCACTGAACGAAAACATGACTGCCCATGTTGAAGATAGATTGGCAACTCTCTGT